TTATTTCTTACTGATAATTTGTCGCCTGTGTGTCAACAAGATATATTGACATTTTATTGATGGCACAACAGGAGATTTTTGTCTTATTATATGCAAGTTCAAACGTATATTAATGTTATCTGTATTCACAATATGGGTCAACTGTTCTGTTTTTTTGCTGATCTCACAAAAATAATGCAGATGATAGAACGAGAGAGAGAGAGAGAGAGCAAGAGAGAAAGCAAGAATAAGAGAAAAACGAACGAGAAAAAGAAGATGAGATGCTACAGCAACAGAAGAATACTACCATTATTTGTTTCAGCTGCTGTTTTATCTCTTTCCTGCTGACTTCGTCTTCTTCTTTCGCTGAATATGTATGTTGGAATGATGATATTTTTAGAAGAAAAAAAAAAAGAAGAAGAACAGGGTAAAACGAACAAGACAAGAAAAGATATTTGTCGTCGTTAGAACAAGAACGATAAAGAAAAGAACATAAATATAGGAACATCAATAATATCTTCGAACAATGTTTAGTATGAGTTCGCTTATCTTATTCTCTTGTTTGATTGCTTTGAACTATGCAACCAAAATGATTATTCGAACTCTAAATAATTTTGTTTTTTTTTTTCTTGCCTTAAAATTTTAAAATATAATATATAACAAAAATATGATAAATTTACATGTCGACAAAATATATCGAGTAAGAATTCAATAATTACATTACATTTCTTCTTAATAGAACATATTTCGCATATAAAATGATTTTTTTGTAAATAAATAAATTGTTATTGTAGATTCGAAGTTGTCGTAGCGGATCCAATATATTACACATATAAAGTGGATATATTCTATACATAATTAGGCGTTTCCTCTGTTTTTCTTCTCATATCCTTCCATAGATTTCAAGAGTAATTCTATGAAAGATATATTTATATATATATATAGATAGATATATAATATATTGCGCGAGATAACTACGCAATAGAAAAAGAAAGATGGAATAGAGACTGATAGCTAAATGTCGACAAGCTGTCACCGATAGATCACGATTAATATTATGTAGTTTCAAAAGCAAATACACAAATTATAATTGTTAGAATCGAAACAGTGTTGATATGAACCTTGTCTCAATTCAATGGAAAAGTATATTGTATAAATTTTTTTTTTTTTTTGAAAATTTAAAATTTGATTTAATTTGGATTTTTTATTCTTATTTCAATTTATTTAATGAAATCAAATTCATGCATCAGTTACTTTTATATTGAATTTCTATTAGGAATAATATTTAAACTTACTTATCGATTTATTCAGTTCAATAATTCTAACATCTTCGTTCTCTGATAAATATAATGTTAGTTCTAAGGACATGGAGTTTATCTTTACTGATGAATAATAGTATTGTATAGCCTTGTCGGCTCGATTCAATGGCGGGTACATAGGTCTTATGACTGACACAAGCATATCAAAACATGATTTTACTTAGTTTATCGTCGATAAAAAATGACCTACGGCGATATATTGTGATGATATTTTGGTTGTTGACATGTTAATTAGATTAGACTTGGTGAAAGATGACAGCTTTGAAAATGACATTTATAAATACATTGCTGGAAAATTGGTGACCAATTACAAACACTATTTCCGTCTTTTGTTTTATAATAATAATTATTTTTATTTTCTGCATTCAACAAGTACAATATTGCAAAGCAATATGTTGAACAAATATTATTTCGATATTAACAATAATAAATCTTCTTAGACAAACAACTCTTGACAGCAGTACGTCTACGGCAATTCATTGTTTTCTTTGCTGACGAATTTGAAAGAAAAAGTATTCTCGACTAAATCTTATTTATTTTAGTTAAAATTATGTTTATGCCATTTTTCATATACTGATTAATATATTTCTCTTCCTTGTTTATTCAGTTGGTTCTTTTTTTTTTGTTTCTTTGGATGTATGAAATAAACAAATCCTTTTATTGGATTAGTACCACTCCTATATTTTTATAGTAGAAATGTTCAAATTTGCTTGACTACTGTTCAAAGTTGGATATTTCAATATTTCTATTGCAGATTAATACATTTAACTTGAAGCTTCCTTTCAGAAAATTCAACTTTCGTCAAAAAAACTAATTTTTGAGATAAGCATAGGAATATATTGCCTGAATTGCTTAATGTGCGAATTAATCAAAATAATTTTGATTTTTTGAAGACTTGTCGAAGTTTTATGAGGTATTTTTGAAACTATCTGGACACATAATGATGTGTAGAGCAATTAGTAAACTTTTTTGTGGAATTATATCTGAAAAATAAACAAAAGTTTTTCAGATATAATCAAATCTTGTGAATTTTAGAGATACATTTTAAAGATCTAATTACTATGGCATGATGGTGTGAGTATGAATCTTTTCTTCACTCACACTCACACATTATTAAATGTCAGGTAACGATTCGTAAGTTAATTTTAAGTTAAAATAATTGGCCCACGTCTAGATCAAAGCACAATTTCTTGTTCATATAAAAGTAATGTTAAAATCTCAAGAAATATCAACAATATAATGCGAATGATATAATCAAGGTTCCTCACCTCCTGAAAAATCGATCTTAGGTCAGAAACATTCAAATCGTATAAAATTTTCAGGATATATTAGGACTGTAGTAGAGATGCTGGGGTACAATTTTCAGTCCTATACTATGACGTTCGAGAGGGATATTTAACAAACAAGAGTCACAAATAACTTATTTCCTAACCCAAAATTCTCTGTGAACTTTCATTTCATATACTTAATTTTATTATTGTTCGGAAGAGCATGTGAGGATGCAGAACATGACTGAACCCTTTTTTTTTAATATTCTGCCTTTTTAAGGGGAAAAAAAGAAATGAAAAATTCAACGTCTCCAAAAAATCTTAAAAAAATGGCGCACTAATTATTAAAATGCTCTTTTATATAATAGTAACAAGGCTATTCAAAAAATAGACTCTGTGATGCTTTGCACTTTGATATGCATTTTCAAACAAAAACAAAAAAGCAGTTGGTTACAATGAGCCTTCGTCGAGAATTCTATGATGCGCGATTTAAAAAGCATAAGCAGAGAAAAAACCATGTTGTTACATCTCGAATATCGAGTTATACAGATAAGATTAATTTTTTTTTAGCATAGATTTAAAAAAAAATCTTGTAAAAATTAAACATAGTATGAATTGTACGAATATAATAATGGCTACTAAATTCTAATTTCGATGGGCTTTAGACGTGCAGACAGAATAAAATGAAATAAATAAATTCATGTCTGTAGTATAAAATGATCAGAATTTTTCCATGAAATTATCAAAAGTAATCATCTTATATGCGACTTCGATTGATAAAAAATGAATTCGATAGCTTGTCAAATAAGTACTTGTGTCAATTACTTTTCATTTCAATAAGTGGCACGATAATTGAACACGATAATTGCACATACTATTTCATTGTTTTAATAGACTGAAATGCATTATTACTAAGGCTAAAGTCGAATTAATAATATCATTATTATAGGAAACTTTTGAAATAATCAAAACTACGTAGTACACATATATTCATAGATCGAAATACATTAATCGTAATTATTCTTAACGGTAAATATATTAAATTTTATTTCTCATATGATTTGGTAAGAAAGATGCACAAATATGATCGAAAGTAGCTAGCAAAAAGAAAGTATAGTTATTTCCGAGTTCTCCATCACATTACCATAAAAAAAAAAAGGCAGTGTACATATTATAGAACTTTTACTTAATGTGAACATTAGTAGTTAGAGAGATTGCTTACGTCAGATTATAATCAAGCATAAATCACACAAGAGAATATTATGAAGATAGTCATATTCTGAATAAGTTTTATCGTGACGAAACAAATACATAATATACGTGCCAGATGTTAACTATTACATTAGCTACATACTCATATCAACACATGATCTGAATATTGACTTGAGAACTCAAGGCGTTATAATTAACTTACAATCACTGGATCACAATCAACTTTATGCCGATGATTTCGTGCCAATGATTTTATACTCCTTCCTACAATCTATGACTATATTCAATCGAAATATCAGTTACTTTCGAATGTGATCGAGGTTTGTTTTACTTTCAAGGCAGATCAATGTTCAATAAACAACTGTAATGATTACTCATTCATTTACTATAATCATTATGACCATATGTTGTGTTTCGAACATTTTTCAACAGCTATTATTTCCATAAATGAAAAGATCTACTTCTTCGGAATTTTTTCACAATAAATGTACTCGATCTATTGCTATAGATAATGTTCTACAGGGTTAATTCTATCTGAAAGCTCTTTAGAAAATTAGAATGGAGAAAACGTTTATTACCAGTGTGGCCAGCTTATCGAGTTCTATTGATTGATGTAACTCTTGTTTTGACCTGTGATTAACACTTTGGTATGTTTCCTCGTCAGTCTGTAATAGATATTTAAGAACTCTTTTTGATTTAATATTCAATTTTCAATGATATCATTTTTAACGTTAAGTTATATAGTATTTTCTCTGATCAAAATCATGATTCGAAGACACGACTTCAACTAATAAAAGTAAGAATAGTTTTTGTGTAAACGAAACATTAGAAAATAAATAAAAAAAAAACAATCATAACATTAGACAATTTTTCAGTGTATTTGTAATTGAATATAATTTTTATTATAATCATAACTTGCAGCAAATAAGAATTTAAATCTTGAAAAGAAGATGACAACTGTCATACTTAATCCATATCATTTTTTTTTACTTAAGGATATTTCTCATTCATAACAACTTCTAATGATTTTTATTCATTCGTGTACAAACTTAACTTTCATTTTTCAATTTAGTTTTATTAATCTTTCCTACAAAAAGTAAACATTATTTAAAAAATGAAATATATATATATTTATTAAACAATAAAAAAAATCCTTCTGTGGTTTTAAAATAATAATTTGATAATAAAATTCAATTCACAAAAAAAAAAAAAACTCAAATGTTCAATTATCATCTTTATGTGAATAATCAATTAATATTCGACTTTCATAATCTTTTATGTCTTCAATTGTATAACCGGATGCATCAATAGTACCGAAAGTATAATTAAGTTCATCTAATTTATCTTCACCAATTATTTTAAGTACATCATAAAGTTGACATAATGTGCGATAACGATGAAAATATTCTAAACAATCTTGATCATCCTGTGGCCATCGTTGATCAAGTTCATGTATACTAATAAGACTCATTGGACAACGGCCTTCATGTTGCTTCCAATCTTGATTATGTGCTGAGAAACTTGGTTCAGCATCATCATCTACTAAGCAATCTTCTTCTTTCATTCCACATAAATAACACCAACTGAGTCCACATCGTTCACAAATCATATGCGTACAACCATCATCTTTTATACCTGTTAATTGACAATGAGGGCAATGTTGTTGAGATCCTGATTCAATTGCTTTTTCAATCATTTCTTTATATGAATGAAATTCAATACATTGCGATCGATGTTTTGATTCATCATTGTCATCTTGTATAGCATGAAGACATATTAAGCATGATCGTTTACCACACGATGGATGTTGACATGTTAAAAAATAAAGAGGACATGCATCGGTTGTATGAATTTCAATATAAGGACAAAATGGACCTATTAAAAATAAAACAATTTATCTTTTAAAACGAATATCTTATTAAAATACGTACATTGTGCTAATTTCTCATTTTCCTCAAGACAATCTTTTGACCAAAACAATGGAAGAACACATGCGATGAATTGTTCGTAACGTTCTTGTTTTACAAGTATTTGATCGACTTGTATTATATCGAATGAATTTTGACATGCACCGCATAATAGTGGATAATTTAGAGCAGGTTGACCAAACATTATTTCGAACATAAGATTTATACACGCATTACAAGTAAATTTGCTACATTTTTTATTTGTACATGTAAGTTTAGTATCACCATCATTAATGATTGCTTCGCATGTACTACATGTCATTGTGATAGTTTTCTGCGATGATGGCGGCGCCTCTGACGTACACGATGATATATTTTGATTTTCGTTTTCGTTAGACATTGTGTTTTCATATAGTAACAAAACTTATTAAATGCAATAGACTAAGTATTCTTTAAGAACATAAAAGTTTTCGTTTTTTTTTCTATTGCAAATCTACGGTATATATAGGTTATAGACGTTGACCGAATTTCATCATTTTTTTTAAAGATAATAAGTGGGTTATCCAAATTTTTACTATTTAAGATGATGCAAAGTATGTTTAAAAGCGTCATCATGAGTCATATGTAGAATTTCAATGTTATTACGCAACGATGAATTTAGTTACTTCATAAACGAACACAAAAATAAACCGAAATTATGGCGCTTTGATGCATTGCACATTGACGACTAAGAAAAAAAAAGAGCATGAAAAAAAGGTGATGATTACATGTAGCATGCTTCAGTGAGTCATATTTGTGATTATATACAATGTTACTTGTTATAATAATATTATGAATTATATCATTAAAAGAAAAAACTTCTACAAATTTTGAAAGGAGATTTCATACGAAAAGAAATATTAAATTCTTATTTATTAGCAGTTTTTTGTAAAAAAAGAAAAAAGATGAATAAATTGCTAATTCATAGGTTTTCTTCTTAACGATGGCGACATGAAGTAATGGCATTGTTCAATATGAATTATGATTCTTCAGTTGAAGATGATGAAAACTGAACTCTTTTGTTCTTAAAACACATAAATTTTAATTGAGTAGTTGTCGAAATGATCGAAAATGAGTTGATGATACATTGAACAAGAGAGACACATATGACTGTTGTTTGTTGATGCTATTTACATACACCAGTTGTTATATTCAGGCCTCAGTCGATTCTAGCGCTGGTTTTCTCCCTTACATATTCAATGACTCACGATTTCTATATCAAATAAAACTTGATCTATTATTCTCTCGATTGAAGGGAGGGTCATGCAAAATAAAGCGAGCTTTCGGGCACGTGTAACGTCACGTGTACACATATATTTGCAAGATTTTTTCATGTTAGTAATTTAGCCAACGAGTTGCTTTTACTACGTCTGCCTCAAATAATCAGATTTCTTCATGCTAGCGGCTCAACTAATCACGTAGAGATGTGGGAGTGACATTTCAATGTATGATGTTGGGTATTGACAGACTAGGGTAGAACTTGCATATGTTGGTGTTGTGTGTGAGTTCGGAAGTTGGTGGATTTGGGTGTGGGTGTGTTGGGATGCAGAGTAGATGTGTTTCTATGATGTGTGAGTAAAGCACTGAGTGGATTTCGATGTGGTTGTGCATTTATGGATATGAGTGTGATTCGTTGGTTAAGTAAAGGATAGCACAACATTGACACATAGATGCATACCCATACTGAAACTTATACCTACCCTCATGTATATATTTGATGTTAGTATAGATTGGGTTTTTTAAGTAGCATATTATAAAGAAAGATTTGAACATTAAGCTGAGGGTCAAAGTAAGTCGCAAAGTTAAGCGCTAGTTCCATTAATAAATTGATAAGTATCATCCTTATGTCACTTGTCTGATATCAAATTAATATTCCTAGGAGATAGAAGTGGGTATTTTCTTGTTAATTTGCTGATAAATTCTATTAGATATCGTTATGGAAAAAATGGCTATGTCTATCATCTATTCATTTACTATTGATAAGTCATCGAACATTGTAAAACTTTCTTGATTGAAGTTAACATTTCTAGAACAATATATATATGCCATTCAAAATTATCTTGTTAATAGAAGTCGTCCTAGGTGGTTGTATATATATGACAGATAATTGCCATGGCATACGATATTTTCATACATTTCATTAGCACTTAACATTAGTTAACGTGACTCATTTGTTAGTTCTGGAAACATCTTGAATTAATAAATCCATAGAGAATATAATATTTCATACATTACGATTTAAAATGAAATTTCAAACGATAAATTTTTATTAGAACTACTAGCATCTCTTTATATCACTAATGAAGTGACATAAAAGCAGTATAACTATTGACACATGGAATCTTCGTAGGTACAAATGAATGGTTTACCGATCAGCATTGATACTTATTGCGTTTTGACTGTTTAATCCATGATACATGATCTTTCTTGGTTAAAATGAAGAGTTTCACATGTTTTTATTTTATTTTAATATAATAATATTTACAACAATAAAATCATATAACGATAGAATTTACCAGAAGAAGTCTATCGTTACAAGATAACTCAATTGATAATTAAATCTTGACCTATGCATTTACTAAGATATTTATAACCAATGCTATCGATAGAACGAAACCTACCAAGAGAGAGAAATGCGTTGATTAAAGTAGGGAATTCCATGACAGTCATGGTATTGGTATTCAATACAAAAGCAATTTTATTATTAAGTAAAAAACCAGAATATTGAAATGCATGTTTCAACCAATAAGATATTTTTTGATTATTATTGCAAACTTATTGATCATTTCGTAATGTTTTTTCAGTAAGTGCTGACAAGTTGTTGATTCGATCCATGAGAACCTTGGTTAATCAAAAACAAAAATACCGGTTACGAGCATGCATTGGTTGTTTATACATCCAAAATGACGTTGAATACTAATAATACGACTACTATTTGCTAAGTTCTTTCAAACTTTTAGAATCTAATCAACTCTAAACAGAAGTGACTGCCTTTGATATATGATATATTGTTGAAAAAAAAAAAACTTCCTGACAGTTAACCGATAGGATGATATGTCGATTAATGTTAATCACTCATAATATTTCTTCGCAAATAAATTTTAAAATGAAGACAGCCGTTTATATTATGATGATTTCCAGATTTAAGACTGGTATATTCTTTTCGTTGACTCCATGTTACATTCTAAATGTTAATTTAAAGATTCTTTTCGACTTCTGGAGAAATTCACAAACAGCAACATGCAGTAAACAGGAAATTAATAGATTTGATTAAGAAACATAAGATATAAACAAACGAAGAAGGATATACTGACTGAGTCAAATGTTTATAGATTTCACTACAGGAATTGCGTAAAATGCATCAATTATTTTGAATAGACTGAAAAAGAAATAGAAAAAAAAAATATAACCAAATAAATACAACCAAGAAAGATAAACAATATAAAACGCTTATTACCACATGAATAAATAATAATTGACCAAATTTGTGTGTGCATCGAAACATTCTTTATCATGAGAGATTTAATACTTTTAATACAAATATTTGAAGTGTTCCGAAGCTGAACAGCGCTATTGTTTTTTCCTTTATTAAGTTTTTTTTTAATATGTAATAGGGTCTTTGTTTTTTCTTCGTTTCTGTTACTCTTTCACCAACGCATACAATCTTATTATGAACTTTCATTACTGGAACTATAATAGATTTATCTATTTTGCACTTATACATTTGAGGATAACCATAAAAATTCATTATCCCGAATATTGTTTATGTTAGACAGTGAATATTTCATATGATAATTTGATCTTAATTTACTTGAATCACTACTAGAAATGAGTAGAATACAGTTTGTTTCATGTTCTGTTTGTTTTTTCAAGAGAATTATCTTATAGATGTTACTTAGCAAAAAATAAAATCAGGCGAGAGAATAAAAACAAATGCTATTCGTCGACTGGATTCATCAAAAAGATGCGCATCGAAGTTCTTTCAGATTTAGTACGAATAAGTTTTGAAATAATTTTTTCTCCGCTGGAATAAAGACCACGATCCGGATGTTCACTGAGGTCAATAGAAAAGAATTACTGGAATTTTAAAGAAAGTTTGTCTTCGTACATCTTTAATCAGTATTTTTTAAATAAATAACATGCTGCTCATTGCAGACGACACAATCGGTTACTGTATTTCTGTTTTTTTTTTGGCTCTTTGCAGTCTTCTCATTATAGTTCGTACTAATAAACATGAATAGTTAATATCCATGTTAATATCATTTCATCTATTGTAATTTTATTTTGATTTTTCTTCGATATAATATTAAACAGGTTTGACAAGAACAAAAAGAAAAGGAAAATATGATATTTAGACTAATCTTTAAATATTTATTAAAATTTTTCATAGAGTAAATAGAAAAAGAAATTAGTTTGCAAATAAACAACTACAAATAAAATAAAAGAAGATAGAAAATGAAAATAATTAAAAACACCTAGTTTTATGATAAATAAGAATATATTCAAGTTTACACTAATGAACTTGGTGATTTTAATTTTTTAACGTTGACGAACTGAACTAGCACGCATGGCTGAAGCTGCTCGTAATGCTGTACTTGATTCACGAAATTCATGCTGGAAAAAAAGAATATTATAAGTTATTTTATTTTAAGAAAAGAAATCAACTTACAGTTTCTGAGGTGCGGCTTACACTAACAGATGATCGATTTTTGGCACGTAATTTTCCAAGTTGGTTTTCAGCTGAATCAGCACGTTCAGCTGATTCTTCTACAAAAAAGAAAAATCAAATCGATATGTTCACATTCGTTTTCTCTTTACTAATAAACTCACCAAGTTCTGTTTGAGTTTTACGAAATTTAGCCAAATTAAGGGCAGCGATTTCCTCTGAAAACGAAATTTATTTTTTTTAATATGGGCAATGATTCTTAAAAATTAAAAAAAAAAAGTTTTATTTACCAGCTTCTTCTACTTGTCGTTTATAGACTTTAACCTTTGATTGTAATTTTTCACTAAGATCTTGTAAACGTAATTGATTCTTACGATCTTCTTCCGTTTGAAATGCAAGTTCTTTCAAACGTCTATCATTTTTACGTAATTCTTTAAGTGTTTCTTGATGACGATTTTGTTCTAATTCATTTTCAGTTTCTAATTCATGAATCTAAATAAATACAAAAACAAAAAATATTTTCTTTTTTTTTTTTCTAAAGAAATTCTAAATAATAATATTTCTTACACGTTGTTCAAGTTTAACAATAATGCGTTTTCCACCTTTAAGTGAATTAGCTTCGGCTTCATCAAGACGTATTTGAAGATCTTTAACTTGTTGTTCGAGACCTTTACGTAAACGTTCAACTTGTAAAGCATGTTCTTGTTCTTGACGTAATTCTTCAACAAGACGTGAAGCATCAGCACCAGCTTTCTTAGCACGTTCTTCACTATTTTTAAGTTCACTAACAGCTTCATCTAAATCAGCTTGCATAGCAGCAATTGTTGATTCAAGTTGTCGTCGTTGTGAAGCTAAATTAGCATTTTGTGTGCTTATATCACTAATACGATCAGCTGCATCATGTAATTCATTTTCAGCTGCTTTACGTGCACGTTCAGCTTGTTCTAAAGCTGTACGTAATTCTTCAAGTTCACCAGCTATAAGATTAGCACGACGTTCAGCTGCAGCAGCTGCTTCACGAGCTTCATCACGTTGTCGTTGTTCTTCTTCAACTTGTGTTTCTAATTCAGTAATGGTTACTTGAAGTCGTTTTAATGTTTTTTGTAAATCAGCATTTGTACGATTGGCATGATCAAGTGCAACTTCAAGTTCATTGATATCTGATTCAAGTTTCTTTTTCTGAAAAAAAAAATATGTAAAATATAGAAAAATGTACTATTTAATTTCGTTTAGTTTTCTTTTTCTACCTGTTTAAGTGCTTCAGCTTTTGATCGTGATTCAGCTTCTAAACTGGCTTGCATTGATTCAAGTGCACGTTGATGATTACGTCTTGTATTTTCAAATTCTTCTTCTTTTTCATGAAGTCTTCGATCAATTTCTTGTCGAATAGTACTTAATTCCATTTGAACACGAAGTACTTTAGCTTCTTCTTGCTCAAGTGTTGATTCAGCATCTTCTAATGCAGCTTGTAATTCTTCTTTTTCTAATTCAGCACGTTTACGAGCTTTTTCTAATTCATGAACTGATTTTCCACCATCACTTAATTGATCAATAAGATCCTACAAAACAAAAAAAAACGTAGTCAAAACAATTAATGTGTTTCTTTCTAATATATCGAAAATAGAAACAAACTTTAATTTCATCAGCCAAATTTCGGTTTTCTTTACGAAGTGCTTCAATTTGTTCTTGTGATTCTTCATATTGTGTTTTAAGTTTAAATAGTTCCGTTGAAAAGTGTCGTGCTTCTTTCTGTGATGTTTCAAGTTCAATAGTAATATCTTCGCATTTTTGTCTCCATTCACTAATTAATTTATCAAATTGTTTCTGTTTCTTATCCATAGCAGATGCATCTTAATAAAAAACAAAGAAAAATTTTTATTTTTATTTTAATTATTAAATAAAACTTACTTGAATTAGCACGTTCAACATCCACCATAAGATCTTCAACTTCACTTTGAAGACGTGTTTTAACTTTTTCTAAAGCATTACATTTACTCAATGCAGCTTCAACTTGTTCTTCAGCTTCAGTTAGTTTAGCAGCTAATTTTCGTTTAGCTTCTTCAAGTTCTTCACTACGAGCAACACCTAAATAATAAGATAGATGATTTTTATTTTGTTAGAATAGAACAATTCTTAAATTAATAAAATTAACCTTCAGATTCAAAACGAGCTCTCCATTGTTGTACTTCAGCATTGAGTCTAGTAACTGTTTTTTGAAATTCACTCTTGGCTTCTTGTTCTTCATCAAGTTGTTCACGTGCTTGTTCAAGATCAGATGTTAAATTACGTATTTGTGAATCTAAAGAAATATGAAAAAGATTATTTTATTATATACTAGAGGTTTCCTACTTAGGATCGAATGATATCATTCCATTCTTCTCAGAATACTTTTTTATAACTAAGAAAATCTATACTTAAATCTAAGAAGATAACAACGTACTCCTACGATTCTTTTATCATATTTCACGTGCTTTCATTCCACTCTCAACATAGTTTCGTACTATCCTACTGTTTGTACTTCATTGAGTATGAGAATATATCGTTTTCTCCTTGGTCTCCATTCTCTCTCTCTCTCTCGAGACGGAGGCAATGCCAGTGAGAAAAAGGCTGAATCCTAGTGGCATAACCAGGAAATGACCGGTGCCCGGGCGGTGCCCCACAGTGTTTCAAAAATTTAATTAACAGTAGTCAAAATTTCCATCAAAGAGTGATTAATCCTCACAATTTTTGTTCTCTTANATTCAGTAATAGTTACTTGAAGTCGTTTTAATGTTTTTTGTAAATCAGCATTTGTACGATTAGCATGATCAAGTGCAACTTCAAGTTCATTGATATCGGATTCAAGTTTCTTTTTCTAAAAAAAAAATGTAAAAAGGTAGAAAATGTAATATTTAATTTGTTTTTTTTTTCTACCTGTTTAAGTGCTTCAGCTTTTGATCGTGATTCAGCGTCTAAACTAGCTTGCATTGATTCAAGTGAACGTTGATGATTACGTCTTGTATTTTCGAATTCTTCGTCTTTTTCATGAAGTCGTCGATCGATTTCTTGTCGAACAATACTTAATTCCATTTGAACACGAAGTACTTTAGCTTCTTCTTGTTGAAGTGATGTTTCAGCATCTTCTAATGCAGTTTGTAATTCTTCTTTTTCTAATTCAGCACGTTTACGAGCTTTTTCTAATTCATGAACTGATTTTCCACCATCACTTAATTGACCAATAAGATCCTACAAAAAAGAAAATTAAAATAATTCTTTTTTTTATATGAAAAATAAAAACAAACTTTAATTTCATCAGCCAAATTTCGGTTTTCTTTACGAAGTGATTCAATTTGTTCTTGTGATTCTTCATATTGTGTTTTAAGTTTAAATAATTCTGTTGAAAAGAATCGTGCTTCTTTTTGTGATGTTTCAAGTTCAATAGTAATATCTTCACATTTTTGTTTCCATTCACTAATTAATTTATCAAATTGTTTCTGTTTCTTATCCATAGAAGATGCATCTTGAAAAAAAAAAAAAAGAACGAAAAATGATTTGATTTAAATATAAATTATTAATAAAATAAAACTTACTCGAATTAGCACGTTCAACATCAACCATAAGATCTTCAACTTCACCTTGAAGACGTGCTTTAACTTTTTCTAAAGCATTACATTTATTCAAAGCAGCTTCAACTTGTTCTTCAGCTTCACTTAATTTAGCAGCTAATTTTCGTTTAGCTTCTTCAAGTTCTTCACTACGAGCAACACCTAAATAATAACATATATATTTTTTTTTTCGTTAGAATAGAATAAATTTTAAATTGATAAAATTAACCTTCAGATTCAAAACGAGCTCTCCATTGTTGTACTTCAGCAGTGAGTCTTGTAACTAGTTTTTGAAGTTCACTCTTAGTTTCTTGTTCTTCATCAAGTTGTTCACGTGCTTGTTCAAGATCAGCTGTTAAATTACGTATTTGTGAATCTAAATAAATTTTAAAAAGATTATTTTATAATATACTAGAGACTCTCCATCATGGATGAAATGACGTTCTCCAGTGCTTTCCGAAATATATTTTTTTGTAACTAAGAAAAATCTAGACGTAAATCCAAGAAGATAAAAACGTACTATTGTACTTCATATATGCTATGGGGTACGACATATGTGTCGTCTCTTCCTTGATCTCATATTCTCTCTACAGACATGATTAAGAAGAAAGGGGAGATATAAATAATGACTTAATTCATTATTTATTTGAAATTTTGTATGTTCTATTCTTTTTTTTTGTTTTTTTTTCTTCGGTATGAAAATAAATAATAAAAATGAATATATTATTGTTAAAATATATACTTACTAACTGAACCTTTGCCGCGTAATTCATCATCAAGTGATCGTTTAGTGTCATCAAGTTGTTGTTGTAATTGTGTTTTAGCTTTAGTTAATGTTCCAATTTGAGATTCAAATTCTTCAACTTGTCTAGTTAAAGTTGAATTTTCACCTGTTAATTTTGTTTTAAAATGAGTTAATTCAGTTATTTGTTTAACATGATCTTCAAGTTTTATTTGAATATCAGTTAATTGTTGTTCAAGTTGTTTTGAAAGTTTTTCTGATGTTGTTTTGCCTTTATGTAAATGTTCAATTTGTGTACGTAAATCATCTAATTCAGATTTAGCTGTTTGTTTGTCTTTTTCTAATTTATTCTTCAATTTTTGTAATTGATCAATTTGTTCGCCCATTTCTTAAAAGTAAAAAAATTTTCAATTGAATATTTCAACAAAAAAAATTCTATTTGTTTTTACCAGTAACAGCATCTTGATGTTTCTTTCTCAATTGTGCAACTGTAGCTTCATGTTGAAGAGTGGCTTCTTCTAAATCACGACGAAGTTTTTGTAATTCTGATTCACGTTTCTTGTTCATTTCAACTTGAGATGTTGTTGCACCACCAGCTTCTTGTAATCGATCACCCATTTCATCAATTTCACGTGCTAAATCAGCTCGTTGTTTTTCAGCTTTATTTCTAGCTTGTCGTTCATTTTCAACTTCTTCTTCTAATTCTTCAATACGATGTTGTGATTCTTTGATCTTCTTGCCAAGACTTGTTGCTTGTCCTTGTTCATCTTCAAGACGTCCACCCATTTGTTGAATTTCTTGATCTTTACGTTTAAGTGTTTCTTGTAATTCACGTTTTGATTTGTCTAATTCTTCTAAACTACTTTGTAATGCTTTTAAATCTGTTTCAAGTTTTCGTTTTGATTTATCTAAATCAACACGAGCTTTCTTTTCACGTTCTAAACTATCTTCTAATTCATCAAGTGTTTGTTCAAGTTTAGCTTTTAATTTATTTAAATGATTAACTTTATCTTCTTCAGCTTGTACTTGTTCAGTTGTTTTAGCATTTTGTTCTTCAAGACGTTTACGTTCACGTGTTAATTTAGCAATATTTTCATCTTGATGAGCTATTTCATCTTGTAATGTATGAATTTGAGTATCACGTGATTTAACTTCATTTTCAGATTTATTTAAATTTAAACGCATATCATCAATATCTTTTTTTAATGTATCAATATCTTGTTCAAGTTTCTTTTTCTTATTATTTAATTGTTGAGCACTATCTTCTTCTTGACTAAAACGTTCTTCTAATTCTTTGATTGTTTGTTCAAGATCAGCTTTTTCCGTTACTATGAAAAAACAAAAAAACACAAAATAATATATTAGAAAAATTTTTCTTGTAAGATATTTCTATATAGTTTGATATATGCAGAAAAATCAGAAAGAAAAAAGAAAGTTACCTAAACGTGTTAAACGTTCTTCAGATTCTGATGAACCAACTTGTGCGAATTCCAATTGTGAGAGTAAATCATTTTTTTCTTAAAAAACAAAACATTAATATAAGATAAATTACAATAAATGTTGGTATTTTCTTTTTACCTCGAATTAATTTTGAATTTTGATCTTCGACTTCTTTTCTTAATTTTTCTTCTTTTTCTAAAGTTTCTTTAAGTGTTTTAA